AATGCAACAGATCTCACCAGTTTGCTGGCATCATTCCTTACCGATTTTAAATCCTTAGTTACTCCACTCATATCACTCCTCACAAATCTCGTATCTCACCTCATCCCTCCATTAAAAAATCCTTAATGACTCACATCCCAAAACCCATATCCATTCTCCTTTGGAATGCGAATGGTGTTAGAAATCACGTTGACGAACTAACAGCTTTATTACTGGACAAGAACATTGACGTAGCACTAATGACGGAAACACGACTGACCAGAAAACAGCATTTAAAAATACCTCAATACATAACATACCGCACTGACCATCCTGACGGTAAAGCACACGAAGGTACTGCTGTTATTGTACACCACTCCCTTTCTCATTACCAGCTCCCATTGCCGACACAAGATTTCCTACAATCCACCGCTATCGTAATCAAAACCTTCTCCTTTCCCGTCACCATAGCATCAGCATATTGCCCTCCTAACAGATCCATATCCAATATCCAGTTCAGTTCTCTTCTCAATTCCTTAGAACATTATTTCATCCTGGGTGGAGATTTAAACGCCAAACACCATCAATGGGGTTCTAGAACTACGAACTCTCGTGGTAGAACATTGTTATCTGCACTCAATTCACAACGTTTCAGTATCCTTCCTCCTAATTCACCTACCTACTGGCCCGCAGACCCTAACCGCGATCCCGATATCCTTGATTTTTTCATCCACAGTGGCTTAGGTTCCCTCAACCATTCCCTTACCCCTCTTGCCGAACAATCCTCAGATCATAGTCCATTATTACTCCAATTATCTCTAGCTCTTATTCCCAAGTCTTCTCCACCGTCCTTCATCAGAGGCCCAGTTAACTGGAAACTCTTTGACCAAATCCTTTCCAATAAAATTGACCTCAGAATATCCCTGAAAACCCCAGATGACCTTGACAATACCGTACACCTTTTCACCACCACTATCCAACAAGCAATCTGGACTGCTTCCTCTCCAAACCACTCCTCAAGAACTCCTAAGAAAAATAAGTTACCTCAACACCTCATAGACCTAATCCATACCAAACGCCGTGCCAGATTATTATGGCAACGTCTAGACACCCCACCGATCGTCAATCCTATAATTATTTTTGCAAAAAATTAAAGATAGAATTGGCCAACTTCAGATCCCAATCCTTCGACTCCTACCTTACTTCCCTCTCATCTCATGACAATTCCCTATGGAAGACCACTAAACATATCCTAAAACCCCATCATAAATCACATCCTCTCCGTCGAGGTGATGGCTCTTGGGCAGCGTCTGACGAAGATAGAGCCGAAGAATTCGCCAAACACCTTTCCCTTACATTCACCTGTCATCCAGAATCCAATCCCACCCACACGTCAGCAGTTGAAGAATTCCTTAATTCACCCATCCCACTCTCCTTACCGCCTAAATCAGTTAACCCTTCTGAGGTCAAATTCCCCTTACAAAAACTACCTACCCGCAAATCAACTGGATACGACCTCCTTACCTCTCAAATCCTTAGAAAGCTCCCTCCTAAAGCTGTCATATTCCTTACATACATATACAATAGCATCCTACGAACCACCCACTTTCCTCTTTTGAGGAAACATTCCACTATTATCCTGTTTCCGAAACCAGGCAAACCTCCCTACACCTCAATGTCCTACAGACCAATTAGCCTACTTCCGATTCTCTCAAAAATCTTTGAAAAGATCCTCCTGAAACGCATCCTGCCCTTTATAGAATCCCAAAATCTTCCTTCCCATCAGTTCAGATTTCGTTCACAACACTCTACAGTCCACCAAGGACTCCGAGTGGTTGATCATATTTCCGCAGCATTGGAAAGCAAGCAATATTGCTCGGGTGCATTTCTGGACATAGCGCAAGCTTTCGACCGGCCATGGCACGCCGGGCTTCTTTCCAAGCTGAAAACCCTTCTTCCTCAGTCCTTATACCTTGGTCTCCGTTCCTACCTTCTGAGTTCGTTGCGGTACTGAATGCTATCCAATTGAAGCAGGTGTTCCTCAAGGTAGCGTATTGGGTCCCGTCCTTTACATCCTCTTTACCGCCGATATCCCTGTCCATCCCGATACCTTCCTGGCAACTTTTGCTGATGACACCGCCATTCTATCATCCGACTCAGATCCTGATATAGCATCCTCAAACCTCCAAAGACACCTCTCCCTGATTGAGCACTGGTGTAATAAATGGCGTATTAAAGTAAACGAATCCAAATGCCAACACATCACCTTCACGCTCCGACGCAGTTCCTGTCCACCAGTACACTTTAATTCCATCCAGCTTCCTTTTTCAGACACAGTCCGGTACCTTGGCTTTCTCTTAGACAATAAACCGACGATATGGCCAAATATACCGGATACTAAACAGGAAATCTAAACTTTCCATTGAAAACAAGTTACTGATCTACAAGACAATATTGAAACCTATCTGGACTTAAGGACTTGAACTGTGGGAACAGCAAAATTTTCTAACATCAAACGTATCAAATCCTTCCGATCCAAAGTCCTTCGAACAATAGTCGATGCTCCTTTCTATGTAACCAACAAAACCCTACACCATGACCTTAATATCCCATTTGTCCTAGACCTTATCCCATCAAAATTCCTTAAATTCCACCAGAACCTTACCCATCATCCAAATCCCTTTGCACAATCTCTATCCAGCACCACCCATCCATATAATCCTCCATGGAGGTTAAAACGGCAGTGGCCCCGCGGCCTTTTATAGTTTGTAAATATTTGTAGTTCTGGCAACGGCCAGATTCTCTACTCACGACATGAGTGTATGTGACTTAAGCACTCTTGCTCAATCTCCACTGAGTTTAGCCCCAGTGACGCGGTTGAGAGAGAAGTGCTGGGATCTCCTGGATCCATGCTTTTCCCTCCACACTTGGAGGGACAAGCCTGGTTTGGAGTTCTCTCACCAGATTGTAAATATTGTATATAGGTATGTATGTGTTCTTTTTATTCATTTATTTTTGGGTTATTTTATTCTTATTTATTGTATATATATTATTTTTCTGTATAATTTATTTTATTTACTGTACATAGAGTGTTAATGTGATCTGTGAACACTATTATAAATGTCCTTGAGACAGATTGTAATATTTTTCAACAAATCAGATTAAAAAAAAAAATTCGGATCTGTTCAATTGCAAAATCAGTCCTTTTTATTTTATAACTGAAATACTTTCTTTTTATACGGAAAAAGTTGATATTGTTAGCTGAAGAATAATTTGATTTTCAATTTTTTAAAGCGAAAAATGAGTAATAAAAAGCTTTTAAAGAGATAAGTTTTATGTAATTTTTCGGAGAAATGGTAGGAATGACATTGTGTGACACGCCACACGTATGTATATGATTTATAAATATTTGACTGTGTAGAGCCAAATGTGAACAAAATATTCTATCAATTCTAGTAAAATCGATGGACATGTCGGACACGGTGGTTCCAGTAATGGACACAGTAAGACCCAGTGGTGAACAGCCCTGTCTAAGACTTGTTAGTGATGTTTTAGAGAAGAACTAACAATACCAAGCGATTTTTTGTTGTTTCTAGACTCAGAAATTAGAAAAAAAAACATGATGCGTTTTCGTAAAAGTGCAGTGCACCAGTAATGAGCACCGGTTTATAACTAGATTCGAGCCGATATTTGATTCAGTGATGGACACCCCCTAAAATTCATTAAAAATGTTAATTTCAAATAAGTTTAATGCTAAAATTGAATAGCTGAAGTTCTAAAAACCTGTACCACTACAGTCCATGAAGGGTCTGAGGTTCAGTACTATTTAGGGAAAGCACTGTTTATAGGTCAACGGTTGTGCAAGGAGGTGATTTGACACAGGAGTCAAAAGAAAATAAGTTTTTTTTTATAAGGGGAGTATTAGATTTATTCCTCAATGTATGCAATTAAATTGAGATTTAATAGGAGTTAGAGATAATTGATTAAATAAACAAACAGCGATAAAACATAAGATTTTAGGTTAAAACCAAAAATGAAAAAAAAAAAAAATCACTGAGAAGTGTATCAGATTCCTATCAGTTCTGGTTGATATAAATCTGTATTAATTCATACGCAATAATCAAGCATTTAAATTTTTCAAATATTGGCCAGATTTTAATATCATGAGCTATAAAGTGTGTTTTCCCTCTAGTTTTCACAGAATTCCTAAGGCTTATTCCTAGACAAGACTTCTTCGTTCTTTCTTAAGGCAGGTTTAAACGCTTCGAAATGTCGTATGTCATGTAGGAAACAAAAATAGACTCAAATAAAACGTAGCGTGCAAACAGCAAATAGAACCTTTTATCGAATTGAATCAAAAGTACTATAACTCCAAATATAATCCAGAAATAAATCCATACCTTCCGAACTGTATCTCATCTTAAATTAAAGAATAGCAGCTTACGTTAAATTCGCTCTTTTAATTTTAATTTCTTCTTTTAATTCGCTCATAAATCCTGAGCAATTCAGTTTATTTAAATATCTTTTTTTAAACATATTCGTGACAAACAACTATAAATAAAAAATTGTAAATATTTTAAAGTTTAGTTTTGTTTGTAGGAAAAATCAGTATTTTTTACATAGTTATTATTATAAGAAACTCTTAGTATCAGAATATATATATATATATTTATTTCTTTTCCTAATCACCTTTTGAATAAGCCCTGTGAACGAAATATTAGTTCAAAGAAATTTTAAATTCTACAAATATTATATTATATTAATTTATTATTTATATGGTCTTATTGATTTTTTAAACTGTTTTATTGAGTTGTGATAAAAAATAATAAATAACACTCTGTCATAATAAAGTCCAACAGTTATAATGAGAAAAAGAGTACATTAGTACCATGGATATATTTTTAAAATTTCGAATCAAGAATTGTAATTTTTTTTTCAAGTTCGTAAAAAAAAACTTAATAGCTAAAAACGAAAAAATAAAAAGAACTTTTCTAGTTGAAAAACCATCATGAATTGCATACCTCCAGAGACAGGTGCGTCTATGATTGAAGCACCAATTTTTTCAAATAAATTACTCAGATTCTTTGGTGCTACGTGGTCAACAGTACTACAGTCAATTGCTAATGTCCCAGGTTTGATAAACCTAAAAATTATCAACTTAAAATTGTATGTAACAAATATATAGTGCCAATCCAGAGATTTTTAAAGAAAAAAAAAACAAGTTATGTCGGACAAGACTAATAAAATAAAATTTAATAAATGACTTGTTAAAATCTTAAATTTTGCTATAATGAATTTTATTATTTCTTCTTCTAAATATTGGTGATATTTAGTACATTTGTTTTTAGAATGATTCATTTCTTAAATAGTGCTTCAATTACTTTTTTATTTAATAATTCAAATGAGGTAAACTGAATTCATATCAATATTGATAGTGGGAATCCTAATTATAAAGCACTAATTATCACCCGACTCATTTTATGCATGATTATTATAACCTTTCCGTAAGCATGAGAACCCATTTGAAGTTGAATAGTATATTATTAATAAGTCAAAAAAGTAATCATTTTGGCATTAAAACCTTTAAAATAAATAAAATTCTTACTTCATTATTCCATTTTCACCAGCATAAAAAGAAGTCACGTGGTGACTCGCAGGTAGCATCGTAATTATGAAGTCGGCGAATTCGGCAATGTCGGAATTTTTTTCGGCAACGACTGCTCCGGCTTTATTCAACAATTCTATCTTCCTTGGATTCAAATCATTTACCATTACTTTAAAGTCCTAAAAAAAAAATCATGTCGATATATAGAAAATAGATTCAAAATAGAAAACAGATAGAAAGGGTAACATACCTTTTTGAGTAAGTTTTTACACATTTTTTCCCCCATGTTTCCTAACCCAACAAATCCAACTTTGTTGTGAGTACTTAAACCTAAAAAAATAAATATATATGTACTCATTATATGGTATTTATTTTCGTAGAGATGAAATTCAGTGAAAATGTCAGTTTTCACTTAAATAATCATGAGGGTGATAATAATCATACATATATTCGGACCGATTGGTCGAAACCAGCGATTACAAAAATGTTCACTTTTTGTTCAGCCAATTTGTTTGTTTGTTTTCGATGATACTTTAGAAGTATGGCGTTGAAGATAGTTTTCACAGAATTTTATAAACAAGAAATATCTTTGGATGATTTATAGGAACAGTAAGAACTATTATATATCCATTGATTTTTTATTATATTTTATTCTTTTATTTGTAGAATAAATAGCAACAGCGCAATCAGAAAGCGGATATTCCCAACAAAGAAGTGCCTAGCGCAGAATTTTTAAGTAAAAACGTAAATAATTTACAAACAATACTTAAATACGATTCTATATGTATGGCACTTTCTCGATTGTTCACTTATCGCGCCTAATTTAGCGCAGACAAATAAAATGCAAGTTTAAAATTTTTACATCATAAAGTTAAATAAATTAGAGTTCTAGGTGTGGCATAAGTAGGTAAGAGGGAATGAAGCCTGATCGCAATTCAAATAATTAACAATTATTTTTTTGGGATAAATAGAGAATGATAGTAACTATTTTGTGATCAAAATATTCTGAACTAGAGCTAACGACTTAAAGCTATTTTTAATTTTTAAAAATCCAAATGCGGACCACCAGATTCCCTTTTCCGCGTGGGAGTATTTCGTCCACCCAAAACCTCTAGTGTGCATTGCCATCCCAGTTAAAAAGCTGTAATTGCCCACATGGTAAAAATTCCCCTGCCTTTGCCAATAATTAGACTTGGTATCCTTGTTTGATTTTTCGAAAAACTCGAAACCTATAAATTTCGCTCATTTAAAAGATAATTAAATTATCTAAAAATTTAAGCTTAACATAAATAAAATCTTAGTCTTACAAGAAGAAATACAACATTACACGGCTGTTCAACTGTGTTGATTTGCTAAATAACACAGCATACTCACCAATCAATAAATAATACTGTATACAAATATATGAGAGAGTAAGGTCGGACCATTGGAATTCATATCAGACATGCCAAGAACGGTTTATAGAATCAAATAAGTGAAGGCCTTGATCAATATAAGTGGTGATGGAGGATTCCTAACGAGTATAAAATAATTGTTTCTGTCATAGCCTGCATCTGATCCCTTCCAACATCGAGCCTCTGCAAGAAATTGCTTGCAGTAAGGGATGCTTACCCTGCTCCCGAACCATACCCCTTTAACTGAACATTCTCTCGCCGAATTCATCTCTGTACTTTTGCTTCAGGTAAGGTATGCATTTCGTATAAATTTCCTCTTTCTCTGCCTGTCTTGATCCTGATCGTTGGTTTCAAATCTGATCGTGGAAACCACTACGAGTGCCTCCTTTTCCGTCGCGTTGAACTCCAGGATGTCAATGAACCTTGACGAGCCTTCTGTATCCAGGCAATAAGCTTCGAGAAAACATTTATAGTTCTTCATTTCAAGGAATTCTTCTATACGATGCCTTATATTATTGTTTTGGCGAGTGACTAGGAGCATGTTATGCGGGCAATTGCCCAACACATGAGATGGGGTTTATGACTCTCGGCCACATTTGCGGCAGAGGGGTCCAACATGTCTGTTAGCCTGGTTTCCGGCCCCTTTTACTCCGCTGAGAAGAGCGTAATTAACGATTAATTTCATGGCATTAGTCTATACTGAACCGGTGAGAAATTAACTATCATAAATAAATTGATTGGTCCACGGATTTATAGAAAATGGATTACTATAGATAATGCAAATAATGTAATATGTAAATTATAATAAAACCTTTAAAATCGATGTGAAATAGTGCATTCTTCGTTTTTTTTGTTGCATTATATGTTCTTAATTAGAGAAAACAAAGGTTTCTTGTTTTGTCGCGCAATCATCTCAAAGAATTATACAGGGTCTGTACCTACAGGAGTTTTGACTATTATCAAAATATCAGGTGCATGCGGGATATATGTTTTGAAACTGAAAAAACATACTGCACAAGCGTCTGATAAATAGAACTGTATCAAATAAAAACGAATTTCCTGCTCAACGTTATGAAAAACTCATCAATAAATTTTATAACGAACCTGTCTAACTATAAAAAAATAGCGCCTTTGCACAGCCTATTACCAGTTATGTGGCTAAGTGAAAGGCGTTGGGATTTCTTAGAGTCCTACCTTTCCTTCCACGAGTATGGTTCGGAGTTTACCTGAATGGATGAATTTTGTAAATATTGTATAAAAATATGTTTGTATTCAAGTTTTTATTTTGATTAGTTTAGTTGTTTTGCTTTTTTTTTTTTTTTTGTTTATATACGTTTAGTTTTAGTTATATTATTTTGCTGTTTAATTTATTTTTATTTACTGTATATAGAGTGTTAAATTTCTCACTGAACACTATTATAAACGTCCTTAATTGAGACAGATTGTAACGTTTCTTAATAAACAAATTCTAAAAAAAAAAACATAATTATTTAATATGAAAAGGAGTTAATCAGGGAGTGGGGTCGAATAAATACTAAATTAAAATATAGTAATTATTTATTTTTGCCGACGTTTCGACCCACTTCTTCAGGGCTACAAATTCTCCTTTATTTTTTATTTTTATTCATACTTATTTTCAATTTCTTTGTATCTTCCACACATATAATAATTGATATTTTAACTACATTGTCCCCCACTATATCTCTGATATCGTCTTTTTATTTCTGTTTACTTTTAACTTATATGCTATATTCTCCTTTATTTTTTATTTGTATTCATACTTTTTTTCCATTTCTTTGTATCTTCCACAGATATAATACTTGATATTTTAACTACATTGTCACCCACTATATCTCTGATATCATCTTTTTATTTCTGTATCTGACAACTTCTTCTTATTTTGTATCTACTTATATTCATTTTTTTATTTTCACCATGTTTTGTATCTTTTGTAGCTCTGAAGACGACCTTTTTTTTTTTTTTTTTTTTTTTTTTTTTTTGTTCTTCCCTACCTCACCTTTTAGGCTATACGGGATTTTCCCGGGCCGGGGGGTGAGGGCGGGGAATTTAAAATCCCCTCCGGCACCGGGACGCGAACTCGTACTTTTTATATCATCTCAAATCTCTGTTATCCGGTTGCCAGGCAACTAGTGGTGCTGTTACACACGCTTTAGCCTATTCGGCCACCCCTCCCCCTTAACCCTGAAGACGACCTGCAAAGTGGGTCGAAACGTCGGAAAATTAAATAATTACTATATTTTAATTTAGTATTTATTTGACCGCACCCCCGGATTAACTCCTTCTCATATTATATCCACGGCCAACCATCTCTACATCTTAATTATTTAATATTTGATAGAGTTTATAAAATGGTCTGCTATAGACAGGTGTCCGTTAAGAAAAGTTTCACTCTGTAATAAATTATGGAAAATCGTTAAATACACTCACAAAGATACCGATCTCTTAAGTTTCATTTAGAGTAGAACCAGTCTTCTTCCAATCTATGTTTCCTAAATATAATATCCAATATATTCAAATAATAATAATTAATAAATTATTCAGAATGTGTAATTACTAACTCAAAATTTAATTTATAATTTATATGTAACCAGTTCTCATTTTGAAGGCATTGAGCTACTGGTACTGCTGGGGAGAACACGTCCGAGAAGTAAACTCGAGGTCTTTATTGGCAACCCTTGAAGGCTGTCTAAAGGATGCAGTCACGTACTAACAATTGTGGGAGTGCCAAGATCCATTTCTCCGGGAAATAAATATTAACTGAACCAGATTCTCCCCCCCCCTCCAACATGCTCGGCAGTCACGTCTTCCGCCATTAAAGTAACATATTAATTAAAGACAGTTTATTTTTTAATAAGAACTATGAAAATCGTTACTAGAACATTTTTGTTACTGATTAAAATAAAATAAGATGACATTTTATGTTAGAATAGACAGAACTTTTATCTCTTTGGAAGCAATAATTCGTAAATTCAGATAGTAAATTACTGGAAACTTCCGTTAGTTCTTGAGACTGTTGGCTTCCATATTTAAGTAGTAGTAGTTGATGCAGGAGTACCCTCAATAAAATCTAATTTTAAATAAATAAGTAGAAAAAATAAACAAAATAAGTTGCATAATCCATCATAGTAGGTCAAACATCACCATGAAGGAGGGAATGTGGTCATGACGTTTCGTTTATATAAACTTTCCCCGCTCACCGGGAGATATGATAAACTTTGAATTGAAAAATACACTTTGAAATTAAAATAATATAATAAGATAAAATAATAACATAATAGGAAAATTAAACGTCAATAGTGATGTTGAGAGTATTTAAAGTTTTAAAAAATATTTTATTTCTACTAAGTTTAATATCGGCATGAAAACAGTTTAGTGTTTAGTTCAGAAGTAATAAATGGAGTTTTGATATTGAAGCACTTACCCCTGAAATCGTTCCGTAGCATTCCTTGACAAAATAAACATCTTTGGAGTTTTATTAGAAGTTTTCTTTCCATAAAAACTTTCATATTCTAACAGCTAACAACTACCACATCTAGCTTCTTACTGATTACGACCAGTCAAGATAACCTATCATCTCCATGGAGGTTTAGTTCCACTAATTAATTCGTGAATTATGTAAAACAGTTTATTCTTAAAAGGACGACATCGCATGAATACAATAGATGTTCAGTTAAATCTTTTTCTCATTACTCAGGCATAATATTTTATTTCATTTAGTTATTCCCTTCCTCAATTTTTAACGGTTTTAATTACTGACATATGTTTAAAGATATCATTTAAACAAAATGAAATTGACAACATTTTATTTATGATTATAATTTAATTAAGTTTATTTATTTATAAAGTGAGATATCTATGACTTGTTGGAGAAGATAGTGATAATATAATTATAATTACCCGAAATAATAAAATGTCATTAGGTTTCATTCAAATATCCACCCTTTCTCTTTCATATTTCCCTACCTCTCATAGGGCATTGGTAAAAATACACACAAACACATGTTCTTAATTTTTATTTACTAGATAATTCTATCTATTGTAATCCCTACCAACAAAGTAACTAAAATGTAATTTTTATCAATCAAGTATTCTTCATTGATTTTCTTACATTTTAAAGGAGATTTTAATTAATATATTTTTTATAATGCATTTTAATAATATTAATTTGACTAAGCCAACAATAATTGGTATGAACTGATTATGTATTTATTCATATGTACATAAAATTTCATTAAAAATTCATTACACTGTCCATACATATTTTTACAGTGACAATCTGTTCCAGAATAAAGATTATTTGTCATTTCATTTGATTTCAAAGTATATATACTTACAGGTATATTGTATTGTTCTAAACTATAAAAACCAAAAATAGAAAAAGAAATATTATAATTATGATATTCGTTCAATTTTAATTTCTGCAATATATAAATATTTATTTAAACACATTGGGTTATTAAATAATAGGAGTTGCTCTTAAGCTGAAGCCCCTAAAATTTTTATTCTTGATAGAACAAAGAAGTACAATAGAGTGAATGGTACAGGATGTCTAGAGAAATCATTTTATAAAATTCCTTTACTTTTTCAGGCCTTGTTGAAAAAAATCGAGGCTATTGGAAATAGTAGTAATAGGACAATAATATCATAAATATTATCAGGAAATAAATGATTGAGAGAAATTACTGGTTTAAAAATTTATTGTGAATAGATATTAACTTATTTCCTTTCGTCATGAAGAAATCTAAAAGAAAAGTTGTTTAACTCCTGATGAAATTTGTATAAACTAGTGTTTATGAATAGTCAATTTACAAACTTGGTTCCTAATCTAATGTTTTAAATATGTACTTTAAATCATAATACTGGAGACCTTATAAGAATGTTTTCAATTTGTATTCTACAAAAAACGTCAGCAAGTAATCAAACATCTCTTTGAAATAAAAATAAAAATATCAAAGCTGTCTCTTTGACACTATATATAATCTTCTTTAATACTGAAATTTAAACTTTTGTGGCCAAAAAATGTAAAGGGGTGGGGTGGCTCAGTAAGGCACTAACTAGGCTCCCTAACTCAAGGTCCCAGTTCTAATTTAGTAGATATTGGCTGTGGTAGGTATTTATTTATTTTGCTAAATCAGCCATGGATCAACCCTGAGCTCAGAAGAACCTCCTGGGTCACACCCAACATCTATAAAGTGGATACTCTTAATTAAGGGAGAAAACCTGCCAATAGAGTATGCTATCCATTTAATAAGCTCTCAGCGCAACCATTTGCAACAGTACTTCCTTACAAATTACTGGACCCAAGACCTACTATGGGTTGTGGAAGTGCAGGTTTTAATTTTTTTTTTAATGGGAAAAGAAAAACAAATAGTTTCATCAGCACAGGAATGGTTACTTAGCAAATAGTTTTAAGTATATAATTAGAAAAAAAAATTGATAAACACAACATCGTTCATTTGACATGTCATTGGTATACTTGTATAACTAAATAAATGCGGTGTATTTATCATTAGTATATAAAAGGGATCGACATTAAATCTGAATCATAAAAGCATGACGGTGTCCCCTAGCTGGTAAAAATCCAAGACTTACAGTGTTTGCTCAGATTCTCTGACCTATTTCAGGTTCAAGAAATACCCTGACATTACTAGGATTTCCACATCTTGTGGAATTTGAATCTGGATGAGGGTTAAAAATTACTTCAGCTACTAAATTTAAGCATATGTCAACAAAAAATATTTTTAAAAAATCACTCTGAAAAGATTAAAATTTCTGTAATTACCATTAGTAAAAAAAAAGAAAAAGATGCAAAACTGAATTTGTAATGATTTAAGTTCACTACTTTAAATGGTATAAAAATGTTTCGAACAATGACCTCAAAAAAATTTTTGGAGATGTTTTCCTGTTGCTGCTAAGAGGTATCTCAGACCACCATTCCTACTCAAGTATTTTTTTTTTTTTGCAACATACTTTTTTTCTGACATAATTAATAATTATTGCTGTATGACACACAGAACAACTTATGTTCCATTACTTTCCTTTTGTTATCTTATCTCAAAAAGTTATATATTTATTACTATTCTTTTAAATTTTTTGGGGAAGTTATTATATGTTCTATGGAATGCATGGCAATCACATTTTATAATAACCTCTCTTTTTTTGTCTAAATCAACACATAATAAAGTTTGGGGTTAAATATTTAAGATAGTTACATAATCCTTATCTTTATTAAGATAGTTTAGTATAATCCTCATATCAATTCTTAACTTACTTAAAAAAACTATAAATATATTTCTCAAAACGATTCACTTAATTTTATCAAAATTCCCTTGTCAACTTTATGTTTCGCTAGATCATTTAACTTTTTAGTCCTTAGGGATTTTTCATTTATTTCTTTTTACTGTGTACTTCAAGTTTTCTGACATATTTTAGGATTTAGAAAACCACAAAAATCCTATTTCTGTCTATTATATAGATAAAGTATTCATAAATAAAATTTAAGATTCAGAGATAAACTCCAATAAATCCCACCAAATTACCTTTACCCTTCATCGTAAACCAACGACTTCCTGTCCTACAGTTTCCTTTAACAATACTCCACTTATCCCTGTTGAGCAAATCCGATACCTAGGACTCCACCTGGACAAACGACTAACTTGGAATCCTCATACTAGACTGAAACGACAAGAAACCGCTCGATGTTTCCTATTACTTCAGCACTTACTAGACAAACACTCTTAACTTCCAATTAATTACAAAAGACTCATATACTTGACTATAAGGCCTATTTGGATTTACGGAGTTGAGCTATGGGGCTCCACTAAACCATCGAATTCTTCTCGTATCCAATCCTTACAATCCAAAATCCTTCGTAAAATCCTCAATGCTCCCTACTTTGTTACAAATAAAACCATCTATAACTTAATGTTTCTTTTGTTTCAGATCTGGCCCAATCCAGATACCTATCCTTCCATAATAAACTTCAGAATCATCCCAACCCTCTCATTTCTAACCTTGCTTCCTCTTCAATTCCTGATAACCCTCTGAGGCGTCTGAAAAGAAGATGGCCCCGTGATCTCCTAATGTAAACATATCATTAGAGTGTTACCATTGGGTAGTTAGTCAGCAAGTGTCTTCATGTCATTATATATATTATGTTCAAATTTACTGGATGTAATTATTTAATACAGTTGTAAATGTCTTTAAGAAATAAAAAAAAAAAAAAGATTCAAAGATAGATCTTTCTTTATTTTTTGACAATTCCATAGTTTAATAACCTATAATTTATCAGAAATAATTATAATATTACCATTGTTAATAATTAGTAAGTATATGTTACCTTTGATACAATGTTAAGTTTGGTTTACAGTACCAATTTAAAATAAAACACTACTTTTCAAAAACCTAGAAGTAATAGCTTTATTTTAAAAGAGCTTTCTTAAAGTATCAAGGAATAATATGGTAATAATTACAATAATAATTTTAAAATTATTCCAAATAAAATCAGTACTTTTAAATTAAAAAAAAAAAGGATTTTTTTTACTGAATGCTCTAGAAAAACAGAACATGAGATTATAGAAAACAAAAAAGATGTTTATTAGTACTAATAACCATAGTATTACAATCTAATAATAATATAGTGCTCAAAATAAAATGCCCGAAGGTTTTTTAAAATAAAATATTGGGTAGAATATTTGAACAAAAAAGACGAGTGGTGAATTTAAACATGATAAAATAGAATTGCATGGGCTGCATCAGATAAATATAATTAACTAGCAGCATGATTAATGAAATAGGTATCTGAAACTGTTGGTTTGAATAATGTAATAATAAAATTACAAGTGCTAAAAAAGTAATCACCATTGAACCAAGGTGTAGACCAAGATATTGATGAGAGAAAGTCTGACGTAGATTTGGGCTGCAAAGAGACTAACAAAAGTTTATTATTATTAATATCAATTCTATTGAAATAATTTTCACACCACTTAAGTTAATTTAATATGCTAAAAACAATTACATCAATATTAATTGCAGAAAATCAATATTTTATTAATAATTATCCTCCTGATCCCTAGGAATTTATTAATCATTTAAATTTACATGGATGACTCTTCATAGAGGTGAGGACGTGTGTGTTAAAGCATTGTCCATTTGGCATTCTTATATCTAGCAACAACAGTTCGAAAAAGGCCCAGGCGGGTTGAAACTTATTTTGTGGTGGACCTATGGAATGAATCTCAAACCATTGGCTGGTTGGTACCACTGTGGTTAAAATAGTTTTGGTTGCACTTCCAGAACAAACCCCCTCGGTCAAATGGCAAGGTATGAAGTAATGGAGAAAATAAATATGCCTATTTGTCATTATCAGAATATCTTAACTTATAAGTATCAATATTCATGAAATTATAAAAACATTATCAAAAGATAAAATGGTATGAAATATTTAGAAAAAAAAATTATATAAAAGATTAAAGTGAATGGTTCATTAGTGATAATATCGCAGAACAAAATTGTGAACACTTACACATGAACTAATTGAAACAGGAAGAAAGGAAACATCTAATTGTCATTAACAACGTCCACAACACATTTTAAAAATTAAATTATATGAACTAATCAACAGCTTCAAATAATAATAAAGCTGTGTTCATTTAAATTTCATTTCCTAAATCCATTATATTTCCGATCATGAACTGTAAATCAGCAACTAGAGAAAGTTCTATTGCAAAAATGAATTTTTAACAAGCTCTATAAGATTAAATAATATTGGGTTGGCAAATAAATTTTATTCAGGAAATTTTGTTATCAATGATGCTCAACAGTCTGGTCGCCAACATAAAATTGAAACGATCAATGTTAAGGCCATTATTGGTCAAAATTCTACCAAATCAGCGCGAGAGATTGTTATGGTCCTAAATGTGTTGCACGCAAGCTAGAAAACCATTTGCACAGGCTTGATGTTTGGGTCCCTCACTCTCTAACTTAAGTCAACTAGGCAACAAGCATTTCTGTCTGTGATTCACAAGGGAACCTGCAACAAAACGACTCATTTTTGAAAAGGTTGGTAACATGACATGAAAAATGGATATTTTACGATAATATTGTCCGGAGAAAATCTTAGGGACCTAGAATAATGTCAAAACCCGCATTGCATCTAAAGAAGATAATGATTTCCATATGGTGGGATTTGAAGAGTGTTATTTTCTAGGAGCTATTGCCATCAGGACCAACAATTGATTAAAGTCTATACTTCTCACAATTAACAACATTGGATCAATCAATTAAAAATAAATGCCCACTACTGGCAAATCGGAAGGGTGTTGTGTTTCATCAAAACAACGATAGACCCCACACCTCATTTGTCACTCACAATAAATTATTAAGAAGCATTGGATGGGACCTTTGGCTCCACCCGCCCTATTCACCAGACCTAGCTCTAAGTGATTATCACTTATTCCGGTCACTGCAGAACTCCATGAATGGAAAGAAATTCCAAATGGAAGAGATTAAATAAAAGTCATATAGTAGGAACATATATGTTCCTCTAATTGTAACCCTGATATTGCTGGCACAAAATGTCTTATCAAAAACAATTATACTTAAGTACAAGTAAACTTAAGAAGTGCTTCAATGACATCACGAGTACAAGCAATATAGTAAACTAATAATTGAAAAATGTTTTAAAATATCATTCTTTCAGGAAGGCTTCTCAGAAGATTGAAACCTTAATATTAATCGATCCAATTGTTAATTTACAATTCGAATAAGGAAATTTTCTATGACAGCAATTTAAGTAAATTTTCATTTATCATAATGTAATGCTTTACTTACAAGATACAATTAAGTTAATAAATACCACAATCACGTAATAATATTATATTATATGAAGAATAAAGTTACTTTACTATACCCTAAACACCAAACTTTGAAAAATTAATTGTTTTTAAAATTTAATGTTATTTTTCTTTTAAATACTACTACTAAAAACTTAACAAAATAAAAAAATATATCCGTTAAAATGAACTTTAAGAATCCATCCTAACTAAAATAAAAGAAAAAAAAATTAAGGATGAGTTCTTTTGTTCTTTAGGAAACACACTAATTTAATAGGAATTTTTATAGATAATATTATAGCAGTAATTAAGTAAATATATAAGATAGTTCAAATATTATGCAAGTAAACAGGGAAATATATAAAATACACATGAAAAAAATATATTAATGAATTTTCATTGATCATAATATAATGCTTTACTAACAAGATACAATTAAGTTAATGTATACCACAATCTTGTCATAATATTTTTAAGGTAAAAATTAAACCTGTACCACTACAACCCATGAAGGGTGTTGGGTTCAGTACTATTTTGGGAAAGCACTGTTCTTTTAAAGAAACCGAAGCACTGTTTCTTGAAAGAATTAAATAAGAAGTAAACTTCTAAAAATTTTAATTTTTTTATTATTATCACAAATCAATATTAGACACTTTTATACTACAATATTTATTAAAAAGTATGAAGGAAACAAAATATAGTTCAAAATCTAAGAATAGAATAATAATGACAACAACTCAACAATTGAACACTGCAGAGAAAATTGTAATAAATTATCAAAAATATTACATTTTTCAAATGAATTATTTAGTAATTTTCATAAGCATCTCCTCGTGGAGGAGGCTCATAAACACCCTGCTTACGCCTTTCATTCATAATTGCTTCAGCACGAGAGATCTAAACAAAATTAATTAATTATATATAGATAAAAATAAATAAATTATATATATATATATTTTTATATATTATAATATAGTTGCAAGAATAATGATAGATATGTTATAAACAACAAAAATCTAAAATCAAAACATTATAACATAGCATCCGGAATACAAAAAGTGGTTAGAGAAACAAAGGAAACACAAATAAAAAAATAAAAAAACTGAAGAGGAAACAATTAGTTACATAAATCAGTCTCTCAATGGGATTATAATGGGTAGAGGCACTGGTATCGGTGACCAATTCATGATCTCATGAAATTTGAAAGCACTGTCCTTTAATCACTTGAATTATCCTCTCACTAATTTAAAATACAGATTTTTGGGTCGGCTGGACCTAGAAAGCATGTGCCAAGCCACTGATTCATGACATCTACTGCTTTTCAGAAAAAAAAAAAACAACTAGTATACTTGTGAACTGAGTTTGTTCAACATAAGAAAGCAAAACTTTATTCATTAGCTTAGCTCGCCCCCTTGAAAATCATTCAATAGAAATTCGATAATGAAACTTTAAGCAAAAATCATAATAATAAAGCAAAAGAATAAGAAATAAACGTTTATTATTCAATTGATATAGAAAATGAACATCAAATATTACTTCTAGATGACATAGGTGTAAAGTAACATCAATCACCCAGTGGATTGAATCTAAAAGTAGCCAAGTATTTTCACAGTTGGACATGCTATGCTTGCTCAACAAATCTCCAATCGGTGTTTTACAGTTGAAGTTAGGGCATTACCAAGCATAGGCCTGTGTCACAAAAGATGGATCCTTTTCAATTCATTATCAAAAACATTCCATAATTTATTTCTAGGGAGGATAGGAAAATTGGTCGCCTCAATATTGGTTCAGTAACACTCTTCAACTTAAGGAATTCTATGTACAGTGTGATCAATATGATCTTGACCCAATAATTCAATTATATGTTACACTTATGAACTTTTACTGAATTTAATAGAGATCTCTAAACAATTCAAAACCTAATAATGATTCAAATATAAATGGTATCGTAAGAATCACTAACATTTAATATTAGAAAATTAATTTAGATTTAAATTGTGCACACTATGACTGACTGTGTTTTGTGAATCAAGAAAATAATAACTGGGGTACAGTCAACAAGTATTTTCCTGATTTTAATTAATTTAAAGGTGGATTAAATCTTTATAGATATTATTTGTAATAATAAAAGATATATCAAATGAAAAACTAATGACTTCTTTACCAACCCAATCAAATTCATATGTGAGTGTCTTCATATCAAAGGCGGACATCTGTAATTTTAAAAAAGTTGAGAAAAAGCTAGTTTTTGTTACATATCTTCAATTTAGAACAATTATAATGATTGTTTTTCGTAATTAAACTTGAAAATTCTTTGATTAAAACATTAGAAACAGTTTCGAGTTGAACCTTTAAAACAAAAATTGAATTTTTCTCTACATTCTAAAAATGACAGGTGCCATCCTATACATGAAGCTACTCATGATAATTGTTCATAATGGTTACTCTAATATGACACAAGGGTACAATATCACACTGACTAATCACATAGACAGAGGGTTACCAGTCTCCAGACTTCATTGAAGAGTAATAAAAATACCCCTCTAAGACAATACCCTTTATCAGCATTATTTTTGGATGACAAAGTTAATGTAGCTTTAATAACATGACAGATTTATAGTAGCTAAAATGATACTAAATCCTGACGTACCCTTTCAATTAGAAGTCAGAGCCTCATCAGAGGAAATAGATCTTTTTCAGTTTGTCATCAAACACTATACAGTTCTCAATCTCCAGTGACACAGAACTCAACTAGAAGCTAACCTCATCTGAAAAGGCCCATTGGGGAAATCGCTATTTCCTTGACTGAGGAGAAGTCAAACAGTCATGATATAATTAAAGCATTAATAGTCTCTATAACCACTAATGATCCCAGTCAAATCCTCCTTGAAGGTGGGTAATGTAAACTAATCTAAACATTCTACATAAATGAGGAAATTTGGCACGTAAACATGATTGTCAATACTAAGCTACTTTTGGGTATTCCTTAAGATTCCATCTAGTGTGATCTTGAGCCCACCCCTATATTGGAGTAGCACTTTGAAACAAGCACCTCATACTAATAATTAATATTCAACAGAGAGTGGAGAGAATAAAACTGAGGAACTTCAATAAAAGTAGCAGATATGTTTAATTTTTACAAGCATTAGATGGTCCAGAACCAAGAGCCTAGTTATAAACTTGTGATAATACCCTTAAATATTAATTTATTAATGAAATAAGAAACCATATGGAATTAAAAATAGCAAAAATAATATTACTTGTTTAAATCTCCTATTACATTCTTCATAGTCCTGTAAAAGGTCATTACAAACTTCTACTCCTTTTTCTTTACCATAAGCTTCCAAACAATTAATAGCTTTCATTTCAATTCCTTGGCAACGACCGAAATATTGATGAGTGAGGATAGAACCAGTTAAATCGGTTAAAGGTGTCTTGAAATAGGTAATAACTGAAGGCATACCTGAAAATTAAAATTAATATATATATTTTTACTCTAAATATCAAGTATACTACATTTGTTAAATAATGAATTATATATTAGAAACTAAAATATGACATTATCGTACTTAGAAGTAATTATAGGACTGTTCAAAGTTATCAGAAAAAGGTTACGGTTTCCAAGAAAACACCATAGAGGTCTTCATCCATAGACATTCGCCTGTTAAGTCGCGCTTAAATGAATTTATGTTTAAATTATAAATGTTATTTATTTGATTGATTGATATATGTAGGTTTAATTTCTTTTCAGTTTTAATGAGTAAACAAAATGCTGTTAAAACAGCTATGTGTTATTTATGAGAAGTTTATTAACAGAAATTTTAATTGAAATTCAAAATTTTTAATAAATTTTAACACTGATTTTTATGTCGTTTCATCATCGCTTTGAAATATTGTATATGAAGCCTTTTTTTTATTATGATCTTCTATTGAAGATATTCAGTTACATATAAAAAGTGAATCTAATCGTTTAGTACGCGGTAGATAAATGGGTCAAATATGTTATCTGTGTAAAGTAAATGAAGTAGTTTATGAATGGCCAAATCCCTAAACTCAGCACTGGGGTCATCAATGGAACCGTTTTGTCGACATTAGAGTAAGGATCCTATCGCTGAGCTCAGGGCTGAGTTTAAGAACTTACTAACTAGGAACCCCTTTCAACGATTCATTGCTTAGTAAATGTCTCCTGAATTGAATTATGTCATTTGCACGGGTAATGTGAAAAGGCAATCCCATCGATCAATTTGTGGACAATTTGTTCATCTTCACTCACAAATGATTCTGGAATAGTACACAAGGATTACAAGATTTCCCTACCTTGGATAGTGAAGAAGCAGAAGAATACATTGTTACCACACTTCTCTTGTGACGTCATGACGCCTGTAGTCAGCATCGTCGTCTTCTTTGCCACTGAAAAAAAAACACAACCCCAGCCTGACCCACAGTCACAGTCTGGAACACTATTGCATAACACGAAGGCAGGACGCGATGTAAAAAAAACTTTAGGTGCATGGACGGTGTCATTAGTTACCACACTCCTCTTGTGACGTCGTGACATCTGCAGTAATCAGTGCTGCATTTTTCTCCACTTCCACTTCTGCCTACCTCTTTGGGCTCGGACCACTACTTACCATCCACAAAACAACAGGTGTGTTGAGCGATGGCATCGTTCGCTATAAAACGCCCGCACTGCATATCTCGACTCCAGTCAGTGGGTGGACCACATTCCTTCGGTTCTACTTGGTCTCCGTTCCACCATATGAGAGGACACCAACGCCAGCGTCACCGAGTCTGTGTACGGTAAACCTCTTCGCCTCCCTGGAGAATTCCTAGGTACTCCCACTGATCCGAAAGATCCACAGGAGCATCTTATCTGGTTGAGGTATCCCTCTCCTAGAAATGGGATCTCATGTCTACTCTCCGCCTAGCGCCGTTTGGCACATCAGCCAGGAAACCATTCGTGCATCCTGCGCTGAACTCTTGCACCGATGTATTTTTGCGTGACGATAGGGTTAGAAAATCGCTCCAGCCACCTTACTCAGGCCCTTACTTATTAACCAGTAGGAGTGAAAAGGTGTACCAGATACGACGGCACCAAACTCAATGTATCCATGGTCCGTCTCAAGCATTTCAGCTCCTGGACTCAAATTCAGAAGCAGCATCGTCGTCTTCTTTGCCACAGAAAAAAAAAAACACAACCGCAGCCTGACCCACAGCCACAGTCTGGAACACCACTGCATAACACGAAGGAAGGACTAGAAATAAAAAAAAAACTTTAGGTGCATGGACGGTGATATTAGTTACCACACTCCTCTTGTAGCTTCGTGACATCTGCGGTAATCAGTGCTACATTTTTACTTACGATAACAAAATATCGATTGGGGTTTAAAAATAGATGTTATAAAAAAGGCAGTTTGTGCTAAAAAAAATTGGTTTTGGGTCGCTAATATTAAACTTTGCAGTTTTTACCTAGCGGCGTAACAATTGTCTGGGCCTCCACTGTATTCTACTATTTTTTCTGGAGTTGCAACTCTTTAGTTTTTTGTTAATTGGCAAACATAATTTTATTTGTGTATTTTTTGTTTATAAAACTTAACTTTTTTTTCTTTATTCTTAATAATAATAATCTTGAAAGCCAGGTGTCTACGTTCAGGGACGTTTAGCAAATTTAAGAAACTTCAAATCATTATGGAAGAAGGAATCATAAGACTTTTAGGAGAGCTTATGGTCCATCCCTATCCACCCGAGAAAAAAAAATGGAGGAATATGGCGAGTGGAGATTGCACAAATATTAATGAGCAGACAGTAATACATACATCAATGTACATAATACGAATAATTATTAACTTTTCTTTAATTATACAGAAGAAAAAATTTCCTTTTTTTTGTGTTTTATTTTTATATAATTTTTTCTTATTATATTTAGTTTAAATTTATATATATATATATATATATATATATATATATATATATATATATATATATATATATATATATATATATATATATATATATATATATATATTAGGGATCGACCGATATCGAAATTTTGACCGATACCGATATTACAAAGGCCGATATGGCATTTTTTTTTGCTTTTTTGGCAAGAATTGTGCAGTTTCACATGGAATATCCTACGTATTGCTAAATAAAAGAATAAATACACTGACAGGCAAAAAATTCCACCCACTTGATTTTTTCATGTTTTCATCTAAAAATATTTCGGCTTTGGATTGGTCTATTGTTTTTAATGAATAAATAGGTAATCTTTTTGTTTGTTTTCAATTAGGAATGTTAATATATAGGACAATAAGCCTTAATCCTTAATTCAATGAAATGATTCTAGATTCCAATGTTTACTTTCTATGGAATCAAAATGTTTATTCAGTATCATTAGTCCAGTGCCGTTTCTTGCAGCACATTTCTTAGTCTCCGGCCTTTAATTTTTTCAATATTAAGTTTAAAAATGCCTCTTAGTGCTGAGGATGTTGCGCGTGGTGTGGCACTTATTGATGATGGACGTTCCATTAGATATGCAGCTAATGCCATCAGAGTTCCATATGAAACTTTACGAGACGCCGTCAGGCGTTTTCGGGAAACTGGTTCTTACAATAGAAGGCCCGGTTCTGGACGGCCTAGGGTAACAGAACCACGGGATGGCCGGTTTTTGATTGAGAATTTTACGGAACCGGCATCTTAGCGTTGTTCAAGCGATTCATCAGCTCGAAGAAGGTTCGAGGTGTGCAAATTTCTGAACGTACCGCTCGGAGAAGATTAAATGAGTATGGATTAATGGCTTTTCGTCCAGTAAGAGGACCAGAGTTGACCAGAACTCACAGAGTTACACGGCTGGCTTTTGCCCGAGAACACAGCCATTGGACTATGGACGAATGGAGTGCTGTACTTTTTACAGATGAGTTAAGATTCGCTCTTCTATCTCCAAACGGGCGTGAAAGGGTGTGGGGAAGAAGAAACGAAAGATATGCAGCCTGTAATTTTTCCCAGAGCCAACCTTTCCAACGTGGTTCCTTAATGGTGTGGCCTGGGATTTCAATGGAGCGCCTCACAGAATTGTTTGTTGTTCGTGGAGGGTCTTTGACGGCCATTCGCTATGTAGATGAGATTTTGGAACCTCATGTGTTGCCTATCCTCAACGAAATCGGCGATCGTTCTATTCTAATGCACGCCCACATGTCGCCCGCATCGTGCAGACGTTCCTTCAACAGAACCATATTGAGGTTTTAGCCTGGACAGCACGTTCTCCAGATTTGAACCTCATTGGCATTTACGGGATAACCTCGGAAGACGAATAAGAGCGCGTTCAACACTTCCTGATACACTGCAGGACCTTGAAAGTGCTCTTCGGGAGGAATGGGCTATCCTCCAGCAAAGGGACATTTCCCGACTGGTGGAAAGTATGCCGAGGCGTCTTCAAGAAGTAATGAAAGCAAGAGGAGGAAACACGCGCTACTAAACGATGATGTAATTAATTTCTTTTAGAATAATAATGGTTCGTTTTTCAATTTTTTTTCTCTAATCTTTCTTACCCAATCACATTTTGATTATTAAAGGTAAGAAAGATTATAAAATTCCATAAATACTAAGTATTATCTACTAATACAACTTTTTTTACAAGTGGGTGAAATATTTTTAGAAAACATGAAAAAATCAAGTGGGTGAAATTTTTCGCCTGTCAGTGTACTATCTACGCATAGGCCTATAGACAAATTTCGACCAATAAAAGATAGATGAACCTATATTTCAGCATATCTACCATTCGTTTCTATACGAGTTCAGTACAACGTCGTATAGAAAATTCTCGTAATTGCTGAATGACAGTGACAATCAAACATAACGATATATCGGCCTGATGACTTCATTTTATCGAGATTAGTACAGTAAAATCTTTAAAATTTATTTATTTTTTTGTTATCGCCCTCTTCTCAAAATTTGAGCTAATACCGATATTTTAAACACCGATATTGGCTTTATGACTTAATTTTATCATAAATTAATATTAAATAAATATTATTTATATTCCTAATAGATATGTTAATCAGTTTCAAAAGTATTGACATAAACATAAATTTGAGTGAAGATAGATAAATCGGCCTTACAACTTGTTTTATTTTTTCAGGGTCCACACCTTCTTCGCCTTTTAGACTATATACACGGTGGGCCAGACCCCCTTACCGTGCACCCCCACCCCTCATCCCTTTAAATTGCATATCGTTGTGTTCCTTGTAACTATGTATTAAAAAAAAACCTATTTTCCCACAAAAAAAAAGTGAACGCACTCCAACAAAATGGCGTCCAAAGATGGCGGATTGACGACATTGACTTTAGTTAGTTTTTTGGTCACTGAGAATCAGCATTTGGCTTAATTTCCTCATAGTTGGTCTTTTATTAAAGCTGAATAGTCATATAATAATAAAACATGAAGAAATATTAAAATATAATTGGCTTAGGCTATGAAAAACACCAGTAAAGTCAATTTTTTTAACAAACAAATTTTCAAGTTACAAATCAAGCGTCGTTTGTAATTAAACGGCCTACAATAACACAAAACGTGCTGAAATAAAACATCTGGAGAATATATTTATCTTTCTAAAACGCTGATTATTTTTTTAAAAAGTTTAAGCAGTTCCGTATAAAATACACTTATGCGGCAGAAAAGCGGTACTGGCGTGGGTGCCTACAGGCCTCTACCACACAATTCAGTACACATAAATGGCTTAGTTATAGTGATATAATAACATTTTTGGTACATTATATTGGCTTTATTAACGAACAAATATTAATGCAATAATTTAATTGTAATAAAAAAAATTTTAATTAAAAAAAAAAAATTATTATTTTTTTTTAAAATTTAACCTCCTTTATTCTATACATAGGTCGTTTAAGAAGACCTCAATTGTAAAAGTGATATAATTATAATAATAAAAATTAATTAAAAAATACTTTGCTAAATATCTTGATTTTTTTTTTTTTTAACGTTTGCAATTTAACACTGTGTTTTGTATATTTACTGATTCTTAGAGGTAATTAAAATTTGTATATACTTCCCAGGAAATGAGTCATATTAATACCTGTTTTATAAACTAAAATAATATATACCTAATCTGAACTATATATAATGAATAGCTGCCGGGTTGCATAGTAAAACTCATATATCACTAATTAAAAAAATAATTTTTATTTCCTTTATTTTGTGCAGAAGTTGGACTATATCATAAATAAATAGGAAATTTTAATTTTGAATGAATTATTCTCTCTGCACAAAGAAAGATAGAAAGGGTGACGCTATAAGTTCTGTAAACCAGAACTGATTGTTTGTTTTTGGTCTCAAAATGAGGAAAAAACGCGAAATTGAACCAGAAAATTGGAAAAACACATTAAGCGAACGAGAAAAGAAATGCCAAAACCTTGGAAAAGATAAAAAGGACCATTATTGCAATTATATAGCTAAATGAATGTTTAGTTGACAGATGAACAGAATATATCAAGATGCTGCTAAAAGAGGGTCAATTGCGGTTCGGATAATATTAAGTGGACGATGTAGGTTTATTATGGTGAAAACCACTTTATTTTCGATTGCTGAAGGTGCACATCGGGACTATCTTCACTTTGAAGCAGGATATAGAGAGGTATATCGAGAAAGATATAGCTCATAGCTCTCCTTCTGTTTAGTGCATTTGCAAACGATTTTTTAAGGAATCTTATATTAGTTATAGCTCGTTATTGTTCAGAAATTCCGCAATACATTCTTCGGAATTTGTACCATATCATAAAAAAATAGGAAATTTTAATATTGAATGCATTATTCTTTCTGCACAAAGAAAGATGGAAAGGGCGAAACCAAACTGCTTCGCACAGTTTTGCGCGTACATAGGCAACAGGTATATTAGGAAATGATATGAAAGGACTGTGGTTTTTACCTTTACAAGAAAGGAAATACTAGGAAATGTAATACCCATCAAGACCCATTCCTGTTTAGTGTACCAAACAAATTATACTCAAGAATCATAGAAGCTGGAATAAGAAATATTGTCGATTGCCAGAGCGATATGGATTGAGAAACTCAAGTAGCGCATTGGAAGAGAAGTTGAAAATTGGGACTATCTTCACTTTAAGGCAGGTTATATCATCACAGTCCTATCATATCATTTTCTAATGATTTCTGTTGCCTATGTACGCGCAAAACTGTGCGAAGCACACGGTAAGGGTAAGGGGGTCTGGTCCACAGACTAATACAGCGTTTCCCCGGGCCTGGTGGAAGGGGAGGGGGAGGGAGTGGGTTTTATGCCAGAGTTAAAAGTCCACCATGGAATCGATATAAACATAAATGTGAATACTGGCTGGTATATCGGCCTTGAGATTTCATTTTATTAAGATTAATAGTTTGATATTTGTTTTTTAATTCTGTGCTTGTCTTCTGCTAAAAGTTTTTCGGTCCAATAATATATCGGTTTGAAAAAAATGTGGTAATGATGCATAAAAAAAAAATACATAAATCAAACTCAACTAATCATGATAATATATGGTTGGGAGGAGATATATTGGTCTTCGGAATATTGGTATCTACTCAAATTATTGAAGGAGGACAAAAAAATATATATTAAAAAATTAATGAAAATCTACCAATCATGAAATAAGGTTATAAGGCCGATATATCGGCTTCACTCATATTTAAGTTTATGATGATCCCTTGACGATTTCTCGACGTCTTTATTAGAAATACAAATAATATTGAACAAATTCTTTCTTTAAAATGATCAAACTCTAATAATATCGATTAAATAAAGTCATAAGGCTGATATATCGGTCTTTACTCAAATTTATGTTTATGCGGACCCGTTGACGACCGATTTGCACATTTATGAGCAATAAAATAATATTCAATGTGGAAAAGGACGATGTATGGGTTTAAAAGAATGACCAGGCGTTGAAGACCTCGAGGTTTTACGCCTTAAAACCCCAACTAACAAAAACAACAACAAAAGTTGAAAGGTACAATGGAATTATTTGGAAGACAATACTACTTGCGCTCAAGTCTAAACACTTTCCTGTGACTAAATGGGAATTGGTTTTACCTTAGGCTCTACATTCTGTGCGTTTTCTATTGTGTACAGCAACTAATGAGACACCTCATGAAAGGATCTTCAATCATCTGTAACGTACGGGATGACATTACTGTAGAAATTAAAGCAAGAATCACAACAGGCAACAGATGTTTTTTTGCATTTCGGAAAACATTGAGTTTTCGAAATCTTTCACGGAGGGCAAAGCTACTGGTTTATAAGACTATCTTGAGACCAATTGTCACTTACGCAGGTGAAACATGGGTCCTGACTTAGGAATGCGAGAAGATCCTCCAGATTTGGGAAAGGAAGGTCCTTCGGCAAATATTTGGGCCAATACGTATAAATGGCCAATGGAAAATAAGAAATAACAGAGAACTCCAAGAACTGTATAAAGAACCAGACATAGTCACTTACGTTAAATCAAGCCATATAAGATGGCTTGGGTACGTTGAAAGGATGGATGAAGATCGATACCCAAAAAGACTATTATATGGTAAACCAGGAGGCAGAAGAAGGAGAGGAAGGCCCAGACATAGATGGATTAATGATGAGGAGGACGAATTGCAGAAGATGGGAATTGGACAATGAAGAAGCCATAGAGAGGAGCTGATAGAGAGGATTGGAGAGGCGTTGTTGTGGAGGTCAAGGCCCTACAAGGGCTGTAGAGCCACGAAAGAAGAAGAAGAAGAAGAACTTCAAGAATCAATTAAATACCATTTAATAGTAATTCTAATACGTAGTAGTAATTCTAATTAAGTCGTAAAAAAAAAAAAAACCTTTCAGGCTGAAGCCCTCCCAAAATTCAATCCTGGATCCGCTTGTGGGTTGTCCTGAGGTGATTTGACCGGGATCACTCCAACCTCCAGGTTTTCCCTCTTAATTGTTTATTAAATTAAAGGTGCTCACTTTATAAAGGTTGGGTGTGCCCTAGGAGTGGCTCCCGAAGCCGGGGTCGATCCACGGCCGACGAAACAGAATAAGCAATTTATCCATCATCAGCCGGATTCGAATCCGAAAACTTAAGCATTGGAAGTCAGTGCCCTAAAACTGAGCTGCCCCCCTCCATTCTGGTGAGGCACAAGAAAAAATCCCATATCCCCAAGAAGGTGTTCCCTCGCTAATAAATTGTTGACTAATAAATTAGTTGAATTTATGCAACATAACTAAAGGTGGGTCGTTGGTGAATTAAACTTGAACCGTTTTTTAAAAAGGGCCATACAATTACTAGCGAGGACGGTATTCGCCATCGTTCTAGGTGGAATGGGCACTCCTGTGTATGTATATAAACAAACATATACATTTGTATAATATATATAAATTATAAATCGATTGAGACCAGTTTAATGACAATCGGAGTTTAAAAAAGTAATTTTTTTTAAAACTCTTTAAAAAATCTGAATATGTGTGTATGTTTTCAATTATGACAAACATAGACTATCCTAATGTAATTTACGTATTGCATTCTAGCCACTTATCTCCAAAGGCATAAACTGCTTGAGCATGCATTTGTTGATAACAATATTCTTCATTGAATCATCTCATGCGCTCATTACGTAGCTAGACCAGCCTTCAGCAAGACGTATTTTATCAACAACCATGGTAAGTAAATGTGCGCATATTGGATCTTAACGTTCAAAATCAATATTATCATTAATTTGATGCTTGCAATGGTGCCAATGATATGTGTTTACTACGCACTTTAAATACTTTTTAACTAGACAGAAATTTGAATTTCAAGAAAATAAAGAAGTAATAACACCCATTTCCACATGAGGTTATAAAGTTATTCGAGAATATCAAATTCCCCCTATGAACTTATATGTGATTTTAACATTTTAAAATTTAAAATGAATACCTATATTTAACATTTTTTAGTATAACCATTATATGAAATGCTATATTTTTTTTTTTCATTAAGAAACTAAAGGTGTGTTTAGACATTTCATAAACAATGGGAAATATGTGAAGAGAAGAATGGTTGGGGCGATCAATAAAAAAAAATATAGAATAAAATAAATAAAAAGAATAGAATAAAATAAAATATTTTTGGCTGATCACCCCAACCATTCTTCTCTTTAATTATTCACTACGGTCAACCATCAATCTACAATAATGAGAAACTTAATTAACTAACTAATTGCGACATTAGCACTAAACAAAACATTTTTTTCTTTCTCTTGTTAATGACATCAAAAACAAGTAACAAAAACACTAGTATAGGGAAACAAACATGTAAATATTTGTGTTTACCATAGTTTGTGAAATGTATAAGCGGACCTTTTCGTTTCAACTCAATTCTAGTCACCGAATAAATTAAATAATAATCCATTATAATAATGTAAGTATTAATAGCATAGTTTCAGCAACATTATCAAATTCGGTTATAATTCGATTATTTTATCCTTTATTAATAATATCCTTTAACTTTACCAAAAATTATTTATAATTATAAATACGTAAGACGTTAATGGACCTCATCTGATTCAATACGCCCAAAACTTTTCAATTTATATCAAAATTAAAAAGTTTCAGCACCCATTTCCATTAATATGAGAGAATTCGAGAATATTAAAATTTCTATTATTTATAAATCGTTTTAATATTTTAAAATTAACCCTTATACCTAATATTTTTTAGTATAAATTTTATTAGAGATTTTGTAATTAATTTTTGTTTGATTTAGCAAATAATGTTTTAGATTATTCTAGTCACCGAATAAATTCAATAATAATCCATTGTAGTAGTAATAGAATGTATAACAATAAATCAACAAAAATATATCAAATTTGGTTATAATTCAAATATTCTGTGTATCATTAATGTTATCCTTTAACTTAATCAAAACCTGTTTGTTATTGTAAATATGTAACGCGTCATTTTCTTTAACACGCTCGGAGACAAGACGTCTATAGACGTCCTTTTTTATATATACAGGGTGTTTCAGGGTTAAGTGGCCAAACTAAAAATATGAACTAAGGATCTCAAAACATGAAAAAAATGTCCTCTGAAGGTATGTTCGCAAACGCTTTGTTTAGGAGATATTCACACCTAAAAATTTTCATTGTTATGAATGATTTACGTTATATTAAGTAACTCAAATATATTTATTTGTTCCAACTACGTTATTAATTAAATTTAAACATTAAATTCATATTGAATGTTGTTAAAAGTGATTTCCTTGAGCATTAAGACAGGCTCGGCATCTTTCTTCAACAGCAGCAGTGGCAGAACGGCACTGGATATGTGTTACTATTTCACAAGATTCAATTATCCTTCTTCGTAAGGAATTAAGTTCATTGACTAATTAATAAAATTGTTAGAACAAATAAATAGGTTTTATTTATTTCATATAACATACATAATTCATAACAACGAAGATATTTAGGTGTGAATATCTCCTAAACAAAGCGTTTGAGGACATACCTTCAGAGCATATTTTTTTCTTGTATTAAGGTTCTTAGTTCATATTTGCAGTTTGGTTACTTAACTCTGTATATATATATATTTAAAGTTATATATATTTTTCAGAGACTCTTCATACTCTTTGTGTTACTTCTGGTTGGTATTGCCGCAGGATATCGCATTGTCAACAGACCATTGACTAAAGAAGAAATGAATAAGCTTTTGGAAGAAATGGTTGCGGCAAACAACCCACCTCCACGACCACACGTTAACATTTTGTATCGATAGAGGCCATTCATGAATTTCACCTTCAAACATTGCATTTTTATTATTATCTGAATTTAAGTTTATATCAATGCAGCTATGTAACCGATTATGTTAGATATATAAAATAGTATCAAGTATATATGTTTAGACACAGAAATTTAGTAAATGTACTAATGTTATGTAACGTTATCATATACAGTCTAAATAACATAATTTTTATGTTAGCTATTCTAGCACGTCTTACAAAACGTCAAGATTAACTCAACCTTACCTGATATATTGATAGTGGATTAGAGTTGCCAGGTTTTTAAAAGGCTAGAGTAAGACAGTACTGCTGCCGGATCTATGGGGAGGACTTTCGGGTTTTAGCCCTCAAAAATATAAAAATAATTTTTTTTTTCATCGGACCATATTTTTCAAATTGAGTGATCTAAGCTAAATACTTAAATAATTATGTTTGATTTTAAATTATAATGCTGTACGCATTATAATTTAAAAACAAAACAGCTACTAAATGAAAGCTAGTTCAAACAAAAAAAATAAATAAATAAAATTAAATTAAAAAAAAATATATATATATATCTAAAAGAATTATTGTTCCTAATTATCGGTATTTTTTTTCTCCTTTAATGAAGATTTTAAATTACCACATAACATTACTTCATATTAGTATTTTCTTTCTTTTTCGTCCACAGTAATTACTGTTTAAAAAAAAAAAATAAATCCCGGATCCGCTACTGGATAGTAATAAATTGGTGGAGAACGGCTAAAGAAATTTTTTTCAGTCTAAATATTAATAAAACATTGTACAATGAACAAACACTTAAATTTTAGTAACATAATTAATCTACTGGTTTTCAATATTAATAGTCAGAGTCATAAATTATATACTATATTTATAAATAAAGACTAATTATTCATTTATAAACCGATTGATCCGTTTATTTTGTCAAATTATTTTTAGGTTTTAGGAGCATTAGTAGCATCTCGCTCGAGCGCCTGCGCAGAAGACACATCAAGTCGTCATACAAAAAATAAATTCAATGTTCCTTCTGCCTCCACTGCCCCTTCTCTAAAAGTCCGAATTTTATAAAATTATTTTTTGGAAATTTATTTCAAAATAAATTTCAGCTTAAAAAAGCAATAACCAGACACAAATATTCTGTACATACCTTACTTTACTTACCTACTTATACCACTGTGTTGAACACCCCAATTTTAAAATTAAAAACAAAATGGCATAAAATATTTTTGGGAATTCTATAATTATAATTCTGCTGTAATTAATTCTATAGAACATCTAGTCCTTTCATTTAGTTAGCGATTTAGGATTTAATTTGGGAAGGAGGGCTTCAGCCCGGAAGCTTTATATATATATATATATATATAAATCCTTCCAAAATTAAATTCTTGGTCCAAAAGTAACAATTTCGGAAGGAGGGTTTCAGCCCGAAAGCTGTATATATATACAACGATTATTACTTTGGAATAAGAAGACGGATCCTAAATACCTATATGAAATGGTGTTAAAGTGATTTTTGAAGTTCTATTAAATGTAGTTACACGAACAATAATACTTTCAGAGAAAATATTTTAACTTTTTTTTCTGTATAATATATATTTTAATATTTCTGTGGGAGGGAGGCTTCAGCCCGAATCCCCCCCCCCTGTAGATCCGCCTGTGCTTTCGGAAACAATATCGAATTAGTACAACTGGCAACCCCATAATGTTTATCTCACATTTTACATATTAAATAATGCGTTTGCTTCACACTTAATGTCTGTTTTTCAATATGTGTATCTTAATAAATGAAATCGGTTTTTTAAGACATGGGACATTTCATTTTTGATAGTTTCAAGGGGCTAATGTATCTGTACATTGTTTGTAGATGCGTCTTTTAGTGAAAAAAAAACAACAAAATATATATTGTTCAGATTGTTTACACTATATGCTTTTATGGATTCTTATAATTTTATTTTTATTTTAGCACAGGATATATTTTTGAGTTTTTCTCAAAATAATTAAAATGCAACAGATAGCCGTGTCCGAAATAACAGATTGAATTATGTTACATAATGTTTACATATAATCAGTTTTAATGTTTAATTAGTTATAATATAGTTAATATTAACCTCAGAATGTATGTTATAGTTGTAGTAATGATCTTTCAACGCATTATGTGCTAATATTATCTGTTAAACCTTTACTCAAAATTGAGCCTAATTGGATTGTATTCATAAATGGTGTGTAGTTTTATTTTTATTGTTAGAAGTTTTCATTCATGTGGTACTTAAAAATAAAAAAAAATAAACCTATTTATACATTTTTTTTGTTATACCTAAGAATGAACTATACTCCTTGACGAAAATTCAGAATTGAAAATAATACTTCTTTGGTTTATGCTCTGAATCATATACACAGGGGTGCCCATCACCTCCCTCCCTCAAGTTCGATGGCCCATGACCTCTCCCCCAAGAAATTTTATTACTCTTCTTTTTTTTAAAACTGTTCAAGCGAAAGTAGAATTACAAAAATAGTAGATCATATATATATATATATATATATATATATATATATATATATATATATATATATATATATATATATATATATATATTGTATAGCATACACTTGCGATCCACATTTGTCCTCTTGTTCTCTGGATTGATACTTTCCACAGAGAAACATCATAACCACCTTGAAATATGCCTCCCTCAAAAATTCAAAATCCCGTCTCTTCTGGGCATCCCTGCACGTTATGGATATCCAAACTTTCTTGGCCTGCAGGCCACATTAAGACCTCCATCCCCGTAATTAATTCTTAATTAATAATATCGTTCATGGCTTGTGATCAATATATCGACAGCATCTATGTTTTTTATTTATTTCCTGTTGTAGTAACTTATAAACTTTTTATATTTGAGAATCGAAACAACAAATTTTTCTGTTCACCCAACATTTTTTTTTTCTCTTTTAAACCCAACAAATTTCATATTGTACCATGAGCTTTATTAAAAATTCTGCTTATGTCTATTATTTCTGTAAAAAACTAATCAACATTGTTCTATGATTTCAGAGGATTTGATTTGAAACGATACAAACAATTCTACAGGTTTAAAAAAATCTTCGTCTACCATTTATTTACAAGTAATTTTAAAAATTTTATTGAAGGAAGCAAGTCGACTGCTCTACATATCATACATAGCACTTTGCAAGACCAAGACCAGTTCTGGTTAAAAAAAAAAAATCGGTTTTTTAAATAAAAATTAAGAGCAAATAGTTACTAATACTTGACAATCTTAGTTACTATATCTTAATAGTTAGTATAACCAATATACTTTTGGATTTAACTCTTCTAATTTTTCAGTCGGGCTTACTTAGGTTTCTCCTATCTAAAAAATTATTCTAATATCTCTATAGTAATAAGCTAATAGGTAACTGCAAGACTCTTGCGCAAGACCAAGACCATCTCCAAGACTGAGTTTGCAAGACCAAGACTCGTCTTGATCTCGCATTTGGGCAACACTAATCGAAACAAATATTGCAAATAAAAATCCATTAGGTATATAATAAAGAAAGAAATATTGAAGGAAGTTAGTCGACTGTTCTACATATCATGGGTGATAAATATTCAGGACGCAGTCATAAAGATTTTTTATTTGTGCCGACATTTCAACCCAAACATGTGGGTCATCATCAGGGCGTGGTTCGAGCACTGAAGGTTTTCAAGTACTCCAACATCTTTTTCAAGTACTGAGTACTTGAAAACTTTCAGTGCTCTAACCACGCCCTGACATGCTTGGGTTGAAACGTCGGCACAAATAAAAAATTGTCATAATGACTGCCTCCTGAATAGTTTATCACCCATTAAACATGTTATTTTCTTTTAATTGACTTTTACATGAGAAACATTTGTCAAATGTCGCAATCATTGGGACCTCTGTTCTTCAGTTTTACAATGGAATTAATCCGTAACATATAATAATAATAATATTTATTTAATCCTAATTTAAATTATTGGAGTTATTAAAAGTGCTGATTGGTGAATTGACACAATTGATAAGCTTGAATTGCCACAATTGATGTTCCATTGACAATTATCCTAATCCAAAGAACAAGGCTATGCGATAGTCTAGGACTGGTTATATAAAAACATACTTAAACAGCCCCCTTATCAAGAATTAGGAAACAATAACATAATTCGCCAAAGACCTCTTTCTCACAGACATAATATAAAAGTTAAAGAATATAGATATCAATTGTAACCATCTTCCCTTTCCAGGACTCAACCTTCCTCCATCCCTTCTAATATTCCAGGATATATTCATCCCCGTGGTCGAGAAGATAAATCATTCTTACCGTTTGATTCTTGTAGTTATACATATGCCAGGAGATGTATAATTCATGATCTTGTTATCATAATCTTGTTGGACACCTGGAATTATACTCACACTCACACTCCAAAAGACCATGTAGATCTTTTGCCGCCTTAACAAGCCTGCTCCATCTCTGCATGTCTTGGGCTATTTCTTTTCATTTATCTGCACGCAGCTCAGTTGCATCTTTGCTGATTCTATCTATCCATTTGGTTTTTGGCCTTCCACATGGTCTTTTGCCTTCTATTGAGGCATTCATTGTTACGTAGAAACTTCCAGATGGATTGCTACGACTACTACATGCCCCGCCCATCCGGGCCTTCACATCATGGGATATTGATGTTATTTAACAATATGGGATACTGATTGACGCACACACACACACACACACACACACACACACACACATTCAGAAAGAGAGAGAGAGAGGAGAGAGAAAAATTTCTTATACGAAATTTATGTTTTATGGGGATCTAGAAATTATTCAGGAATATAAGAGAAAAAAAATTACTAGATGAAGAGAAGTGGTAACATTAATAGAAACAAGGGCTTATAAAATATTCTCCGAATTTGTTTTTTAAATCTCTATTTTACACAATATCCTTTATAAAAGTATTTACAAGAATAATGATTATACAAAAATATAAAAAATCATCTCATATTATAAAACATATGTATATATTTATAACTTAAAACCGAAAAATCTACAATATACACAATTATGTAGTTTTTAACCTTTTCAAATTGCCTCGTTACAAATGTTTATAATCGACAACTGATATTCCTAATTACATATCCCTCTGAGGTCATCCACAGTACAAACTTTTTTACAACACTTGTCTATTAATGCCTTGATTTGTCTTTTTATCTTCAGTTTAGCTGCTGCTCGTTGTTCTTCCAAGGTCTCATGCCCTGCGAGAAATCTTTCCAACACTCCTGTAAAATTTAAAATTTTGGAGTCGAGTATTTTTTTTTTTTTCATGTTT